ACAGGCCCTCTAATGCAGAAGCACCTCTCTCGGCCTCAGACATAATGGCTGGTTGATACTATCACGTACCTGGAGTTAGAGGCCAATGGAGAGAGGGGCTTCCCTTGCGGCTAAGTTCCTGACTCCCCTGAGAGTGGGACAGCAGGAGTCAGGCCCAAAGTGGCATAGGTCACCTGTAGGAGTGCTCATTGGTGGTCCACCCAGGAGCACAGCTGATGCACTGAGATGGGATCTGCAGACAGGTGGTGCCTGTGCGAGGTATGCAAGCCTTCCAGGAAACAGAGGATCACAGGATAGCCAGTTCAAAACCGAGGTCAGGTACCGGATGGGAATCAGAGCAGACGTAGTCAGATGGGATAGCCGAGGTCATACACAGAGGAGCAAAGAGGGAATATCCGTTAGCCAAGCCGAGGTCACATCAGGGGTTAAGCAGAGAAGACAGGTCCAAGAGCAAGCAGAGTCGGTATCAGGAAATCACAGATCACAATAACACAGGAAACAGGAACAAGGTACTGGGAAGCCAGAGATCAACCAGCACCTGAGATTAGGGCAGGGCTTCCTTGTAAAGGCCGTTTGGAGCCAAATTTGAGCCGATGTGAACTGCTGCGGCCATGCAAGGTATTGGCAGGGGTGCCAGGTCTCCTAACACCTCTGCCGAGGACAGAGCCCTGACAGTGCCCCCCTCAAAGGGCAGCCTCCGGATGCCTACTTGGGCCATCTTGTCTGGATATTTGGAGTAAAACTCTTGGAGAAGTCTGGGGGCATGTACGTTGTCCTTTGGTTCCCAGGAGCTTTCTTCAGGAGGATACCCCTTCCATTTGATCAAGAATTGGATTTGCCTTCCCCGTTTCCTGCAGTCCAGGATTGATTCTACTACTTGGGCCATCTTGTCTGGATATTTGGAGTACTGCCAGGTACTGGCAGGGGTGCCAAGGTCTCCTAATACCTCTGCCGAGGACAGAGCCCTGACAGTGCCCCCCCCCCCCCTTCTAAAGGACAGCCTCCGGATGCCTACTTGGGCCATCTTGTCTGGATACTTGGAGTACTGCCAGGTACTGGCAGGGGTGCCAGGTCTCCTACCACCTCTGCCGAGGACAGAGCCCTGACAGTGTGTGTATGTATATTTGTATGTATATCACGAAATAGTGAGGTACACGTCTTTTATTCTCTCTTCTACTTGGTGTTAAAGCAAAACTGAAACCCTGCTGTAGGAAACAGCGAGTGGGCAGGCTTTCATTGCAGAAGAGACATGCACTGTTGTTTTGTTATGGTTTTATGGCTGTATTTGATATGTGAAGAGAGAGATCACACAAATACTTATAAGTAAAACATTTATTACCAGTAATGACAGATACAGATAAAGAAAATATAACAAGAATAGTTAACTATTGATGCTGTTTCTGCCATGGGTCCCTCCAATTATATGGCATGGCCCACAGGTGACCACAAACGCTTGTTTGATGAAGCTCTGAGATGAGACAAATATTTAAAGTCTAGTTGTATGTTATATACTGAACTTGAATGTAGAGAAATGGTATCAGGAATGGTCTTATCTCTGGTAGTGCTGGGGCTTACCTGACTTGTGGGCTGCAGTACCAGTGCTGGCCAGCGGGTGCTCTCAGCAACCAGTGTCTTACTCCTGCAATCAGGCCAACACCTGAGGCTGATTGCAGGAGGTGTATTAAAGCAGGACCAGGCCTGCAGTCAGTGCCTTGGTGTATTGTTTCCCATGAGCCCCTGTACCTTGTATCCTGTGTTCCTGTTCATCTGCCTATCTGATTTGTTGCCGACCCTGCCTCATCCTGACCTCTGCTGACTTCTCCTGCTCTAATCCCTGGCTCGTTTCACTACTCTCCTGGACATCCCTAATCTGATCTGAACTCCAGTTACCGACCCTGGCGAGTGACCCGACTACTCTTCTGCCTGCTGCCTAGTACCACGCTGACCCCACTGTTACAGACCCGGCCCAGCCCGTTTGACCACGCTCAGTACTCTGCCATCCGTCCATCCATCCTGCACGGATCCAGCCATCCCTGCTCACACCTTCTGCCTCTTCACGTCAGGCTCTCTAACTGCATATACCTTTGGCGGATTCCTCTACCACAGGCAGGTGTACTCAGGGGCCCACGACCTGGTTCCTGTCTGCTCCAAGTCCATCCCCACCATCAGGGGCCCTGGTGAACAAGCAGACTGGGACTTAGACTCCGCGCTCTGGGGAATCCTATCCTGTGGACTGCTAGAGGTATCTCCAGGTGGTTCTTAACAGAATCATAAGGCCAGTCCTGACCATTCCACCTCTCCAGCCCTGACTACGCCTGTGTTCCCACACATTTCTGGTCATTACCGGACCCCTGACAAATGGTCAACCCCCACTGCAAATAACAAAATGGCACATTCCTGAAAGGAGAGTGGGCTGGCTTGTCCCTATAGTCACATTCCTTTGTTATTTAAGGTAATCAGGCTTTGTCCTCCTATAGCCCTTTAACCAAGGCTTGGAGGCATTCTTAAACATTTGTGAGGCCAACATTAATAAGGAAATATGTAGTTTTCAATTTCCCAATTAACTCTTTCTTCTGTGATAAAATTCCCCCTCCTCTTGGTCACTGTCTCCTCCAGCATTGGAAACTGAGATATGTAATGTGCAGCTCAGTTAATAGTGCCAAACTGGTCATCAAATGCTGGGATGAATGCCTCCTGTGCATGTGCAAGAGTTACGTTATTCCTTGTCAGCCAATAAAGAGGCCCGAAGACCAGAACTCAAAAGAAGATGCCAGACTGATAGACAAATGCGTATTGAAACATTGGTTCCTCTTTAACACATCAAGTAGGCTTCCCTATACTGCTTGTACAATAAATCCAAAATAGAGAAAGAAAGATCATAATTTCGGCCTCACACACATTTGGCATCAAAAATTATGCTTTTTAAGGGCAGTTGATTTATTTTTTTCTCTAAACACCCCCCCTCTGTATGCACACATAGGTGTTTAGAGGCAGGAGTGTTTTGGCAGAAAAACCGCTGATGCACCTATAACCGCCTGAAGGTGTCTAAATATTATGCACGTTTAGCATTTGCGTTTTCATTCATTTCAATGGCCAGATTAAATTAATATTCTGGCCAGTGGAAAGAATGAATGTCCAAATGCTTGACGCACCTAAACGTGTTTGCAAAATGTGGTTATTACAGTGGGGAAAATAATTCTTTGATCCCCTGCGGATTTTGTTGGCAAGCATAGAGGTAAAACGTTTCTTTTATTAGGTTACCAGGTTTGCACACATCTCAGGAGGGATTGTGGTCCACTCTTCTTTACAGATCTTCTGTAAATCCTTAATGTTTCTTGGTTGTTGCTTGGCAACTTAAGGTTTCAGCTCCCAACATAAATTTTCTATAGGATTAAGGTCTGGAGACTGGCTAGGCCATTCCATGATCTTAATGTGCTTCTTCTTGAGCCATTCCTTTTTTGCCTTGGCGGTATGTTTTTGGTCATAGTCATGCTGGAAGACCCATCCACGACCCATCTTCAGTGTTCTGGCTGAGGGAAGAAGGTTCTCATCCAAGATTTTACAATACATGGCCCCATCCATTGGCCCCTCAATGTGGCAAAGTCGGCCTGTACCTTTAGCAGAGAAACAGCCCCAAAGCATAATGTTTCCACCTCTGTTCTTGACTGTAGGGATGGTGTTCTTAGGGTCAGTCATGGTCAGCATTTTTCTTCCTCCAAACACGGCAAGTCGAATTAATGCCTTAGAGCTCAATTTTGGTCTCATCTGACCATAGCACTTTCTCCCAGTCCTTCACTGAACCATTTAGATGTTCGATGGCAAACTTCAGAAATGCCTCTACATGCGCATTCTTGAGGAGGGGGACCTTGCGGGCCTTGATATCATTCACATGCTCCTCCTGTGTAGTTCTAGGCTGGTCCCTCACTTTTCTCATGATCATCCCTACCCCATGAGGCAAAATCCTGCATGGAGCTCCAGACCGAGGGCAATTAATGGTTATTTTGTATTTCTTCCATTGGCAAATATTTGCTCCAACAGTTGTCTCATTCTCACCAAGCTTCTTGCTGATGGTCTTGATGCTCATTCCAGCCTTGTGCAGGTCTACAGTCTTGTCCCTGACGTCCTTTAACAGTTCCTTGGTCTTGCCCATGATGTTGAACTTTGAATGGAAGAAAGAGATTCTGAGGACAGGTGTCTTTTATACACATAACGAGTTGTTGTTAGGAGCACCTTCTTAAATTGACAGGACTAATCTGTGTACCATATGAGCACATAGCCAGTCTGTGGGAGCCAGAATTATTGTTGGTTGGTAGAGGATCAAATACTTATTTTACTCATCGAACTGCAACTCAATTTATAACATTTGTATCATTTTTTGGGGGGATTTTTGGTTGATATTATGTCTCTATCATTTAAAATTTACCTATGATAAAAATTATAGATCCTTCATTTCTTTGTAAGTGAGCAAACTTACAAAATCTGCAGGGGATCATATAGTTATTTTCCCCACTGTAGGCTCATTTTTTTATGCTTTTTTCCTGCCAGGTGAAAGGTGTTTAACAAAGCCAGGTAAATAACCTGTGAGCATGAGTCCTCACTTGTTTCTTAGCTTGTTGCTCTTCACATCACACATCTAACTTGACTGGCCTGCAGAGTCCTGACCTCAACACAGGCAATATAACATATATAATACTAAAGTAATGAAATGGAGAATGACTGTAAAGCCAGCAGAGAAAGCTGCAGATACAGAGACCATTTCCCGAGCAGTCGGACATGTTCTGCACAATACATGACGATTACACTGACGCCCACATAGGGCTCTTGTAATAAAGGGGTGGAGCTAACAGGGCAGCATTGAACAAGGCAGTCGATAGGCCAGCGGTGAGAAGCTGGGAGGAGTCCAAGGCTTTCCTCAGATTCCCCGCTTATTATCGCGCCGTTCTGAGCAGTCTCGTGTCTTTGGGCTCCGGTTCGCGGCTGGCTGACATCGGACAGCGAAGATGAGCGACAGCGGGGAGCAGAATTATGGCGATCGGGTTAGTAATGATGTGTGTGGACGCTCCTCAGTCCGGGGCTACACGGGTGATGGCATCTCTTTGGTAGGGGGAAATTTCGATGGCGTCTGGCGACATCCTGGTCTGCAGGACGCTGATATCAGTGGGATGGGCGATAAATAGTGAAATCCTGGAGAGGTGATCGCCCGTGTAGCCCCGGGCCTGAGCGCAGACGGTGTGGTGATCCGGGTGTGTGTTGCAGTGGAGGAGGTGTGACGGGGATCCGGGTGGGTTCTGTAGTTTTTGTTCAGGATCCGGGAGGATTGTTTGCTGGGCGGTGTGTTGTGGCGATGGATCCTCACGAGGCCCGGCACAGGCTGTGTGATGTGAGGATCCGGCCGCCATTTTGTGTGCTTAGCCGCCATAAGATGGCTTCTCGGAGTGCCGACATGGCGGGTGTAGAGGGCGGGGAGCCTGCACCGGGATGACGGGGGCCTGGTACGGAACTTCTACTGCTACCCTTCACATCGTCAGATTTATTATCAAACACTATTCCTTCATAAACCGCTCTGTCCAGCTTTGTTTCTAGTTTTGTCCAGCGTGGGGAGGACTCTGTTGGAGCTTTTCCAGCAATCTGGGGCTTTGTTGTCAGGGGTACAGGAAGTGAGGGGAATCGCAAGGCTTCCACCAGACAGGAAGTGAGGGGATCTCCAACAACGCAGCGATAAATGTGCTTCTCAGTAGAGGAAGGATTAGAGACGTATCCGCTATGCGGAGAGCTGTTACACCCCGGTCACATCGGGTGTAAGTGGCACCGTGTTGTCCACAATTACATAGTCATATCGGTGCGGTTCCGACTTGGCCGGAGCAGCACCGATTTCTAGAGAAGTACATGCACTACTTTTGGTGCGCTTTGCATAGACATCTGTATCAGATATCCTGCAAATCCCACCTGAAACCGGCATGTCCCCGGACTCTGAAATTGTGCGACTTCACCGTAGGTCACACGATTTCAAAGTTGGGCTTGATATGACCGTAGACTTGGAGAGATTTCCTGTTCCTCTGCCAATGATTCCAGCAGACAGGAAGTGAGGCCTCGTGTACACATGAGCTCCCCTCGACGTTCAGCTCTCCTGGCAGCAGAAAAACCTCAAACGTGACAAAAACGTGGAAATGCTGTACCTTTGCCTGTGTTTAGCACTTGGATGTTTATTCATTTGATTGGCCAGAGTGGTTTCCATTGACGTGGATAAACGCCCAAGTGCTAAATGTGGCTAGCGTTTACATGTGTTTTTTGCCGCGTTTAGCGGGTTTTTGGCCAAAGTGTTTCTCTCCTGTGCACGATTCTTCATGAGAGGAATTTACACTGCCCCTACACTATGGTGAAAGCCTATGTGGACATGGAGGCTTTTATTTGAACTGAGTTCAGGGACTTTGGCAAAAGCTTGCGTTTAGGAGCAACAGTGTACATGAGGCCTAACCGCTCTCCACATAACTGAGAAATCTTCTCTCCTCCTTCCCCGGCTTTACTCCTCATGCACACTGGATGTTTTTACAGCCGCTGTTTTTGGCTTTTTTTTTTTTTTTTCCAGCCAGTAAACCCCCAGCATGTTATTCTGTGTCCATGCATACACAGACTGGAATCAACTTTTTGTGGCTGGGAAAAACCCCCAGGACTAATGGGTTTCTAGAGGAGTTTTTTAGCTGAAAATCACAGTAAAACGCCACAAACTGATGTATTTGGACTTTTTTTTCTTAGCAAAATTATTTTTTTTTGTAAAAAAAAAAAAAACACGGCTAAACGCTAATGCAAAAATGCTTTAAAAAAGAGGAAAAGCATGTTTATCTTGGCCTGTCATGTTCACACAATCCCTCATTTTCTGTCTAGCTTACACTGTGGTTGGGGGGAGGCGGTAAATTCACACAGTTAAGGCAAAACTCACCCATCCATCCATGTCTCTTATTCTTTATTTTCCTGAGCAATCACTTTTACCCCCCTCCACTATTTCTGACTGTGGCCATCTTGAGTAAGGGCAGATAATTCATGTAGCAGTCTGTCTTTAGCTCAAGCATGCAGGCGGGAGGACGTGCTTAGTTGAGAAAACCCATTCCCCCTCCTGAAGACTCCTGGGATGTATGACAATATTTGCCTAGGCCTTGAAATCAGGAAGTAACTGAAGAAATATAAAAATATATATATTTTGTTCTACTAATGCCAGCTGCAGAAGGATTACACACAGTCTGTGCTGACTGAGCAAATTTCTGCTTTAAGCAGCATTTTTTTACCACTCCCCTTTAGCTGGTAAGGCAGCACCTTAGTGGAGGGGATGTACATATGCTTCAAGTAGAACTATAGGCAAAACATTTCTTTTCCATTTTGGATACAGTAATGGGGGGATTTTTTTCCACCATCCGGTTCCCATTGGAGAGATTTCACCACTTCCTGTTACATAGCCAAAAAGGAATTGAGAGGAAATTCCTGCAACTTAAGGGAATTCCTTGGGGACCCGCATTGTCCCCATTGGAAGATTTCCCTTCTGTTACTTTGCTGGGGACACCCCAAAGTTTGGGGTTTTCTTTTCCTTTTAGCCTGGGTTCACACTGATGCGGTGCTGAATTTGCAGTTTTCTGTGCGAATTCCGCACCACGTCAAAATCGCACCCCGTTCATGCGAATCACTGCAGGTGTGTGTTAACACCCCAAATCGGTCCGTAAACCGCATTGTGCAGAATCAGATCGCATGAGTGGTGTGAATACCCATGGGATGACCAAAAAAGGGTCCTGCACCTTTCGTGTGGTGTGATTGGAGCCATACTAAATTGTACCACATGTAATTTGTACAGGAATGCGGTGCGGTTCCTGTGTGTATCACATGTGATGTACCGAACTGCATATATGTGAACCTGGGCTCAATGATAAAGGTAAACAGACAAACTGAGAGGATGAATCTCCCTAATGGGGGCACAGACAACATTAAATACTTAAGTGTAATAATACCTCTCCACTCTAAACAAAACACACAAAGTTTTGCCTTTACCTAAACTTTCAGCCATGGCTTTGCTTCACAGCAGGAATTTTATCCTGCGTTGTGTTCATCCTGCACTGCCATGTGCTAGTCCAGCATTTAGGGGGTTAAATCAAGGGGGTAACACAACTCCGCTCCTGTGAAGGCCAATGTGAACAAAGCTGAGCCTTTAGAAAGTAACACTAGTATAATCTAGCCCTGAGCCTACAGGCACAACCAAGTGCAGGTGCATTTGTCTCATGTTCCCACATCCCACATGCAGGGCAGTCCATTCCGTGTGAGAAACATGGAACAGACCTTCCTGTCTAACAAACATGCAGCGGATTGAACCGCATGGTGCTGCAGCAGTGTGTTTGACATGCACGTGTGCACATGCGGGGTTGGCATTAACGATATATCTGCTAGAGGGGTGTGTGTATCAGGACAGGCAAGTCTGTCCCCAGCACACGTCAATGTGAACCTGGTAGAACACAGCCTCAGCAGTAAAAACCTGACGGGTTCCACCCACTCTATCTGAAACTAAGAACAGTTCAGCTGGACATAGGACTCCCCTAATTTCATGCCTAGTCTAAAATGATGTCCCCAGCTCCCCTCAGCCTCTGGGGTCACATCACTCCATCCTGAAAGTTTTGTTACACCATACAGTGTGTATGCCACCGGGGGGGCGGCTACAAGAACAATGAAGAGAGCCGGCCCCCCAGCGATGGAGGACGGTGCAGGATTGCAGCAGACCACACTGGTTTGGCTGGGCACAAGTATGTTATTGAGGATAACCCAGCAGACAAGGTAGCACGGGGCAATGTTTTCTTTTAGGGCTCATTTACATCAGATGCAGTATGAAGACTTGTAAGAACCATGAGGGAATTGTAATGAGCCTGGTTTATACCATCGTGGTGCCTTCACATACATTTAAACGCCGTACAGCATGCTGCATTTGTTCACACCAGAACTCGCGGCAAATGTATTGAAATCTAGAAATGCGCATGCAGAGGTACACATTGAACTCTGGGGATTGTGGTGTCAATGAGCCCTAATAGACATACATCTGCTGGTAACTCTGTACTTCTTTCTGGTGGGAAGTATAGCCATGGCTGTCCAAGTCAATAGAACTGGATTCCTGATGCTGTAAGGAGATAAAAACCAAACCTCAAGCAGCACTTTATTCCTCCCATTTTTATAGCAAGAATGAAGTGAAAACACAACTTCCACTTTTGTATTAAAGAAACATTCTGGGGTTAATTTACTAACCTGGCAAAACAGAAATGTGGTGCAGCGTTGCATAGAAACCAATCGGCTTCCAGGTTTTATTGCCAAAGCTTAACTGAAGAGACTCAAGTTAGAAGCTGATTGGTTATCATCCACAGCTGCACCAGATTCTGAATTCTCCAGTTTTAGTAAATTCTGCATCCGATTGTGTGGTAATGAGTGCCCTGCTAAAGGAAGTGTGTATAACAGAACTTTTTTTTTTAATAGGGGTAAGAAAGGGTTAAAATCTGTCAGGCTTTAACATTCTAGAAATTAGGGGGAAAATGCTGAAAAGAACCTGGTAACGTTCATCTTACACTGTTCACACAGGGTGTACCTAACTGTATGCCTGTGGGGGCTGTACTTACCCATATGGGGATGCACAGGGGTTCATACAGTCAATCCAGTTGCTGTCCGTTGGGACACAGTGGCTGCATGGATGTAGTTGCTGCTCTGTGTTGTGTCCAGGTGCGCATGGATGTAATGTTGGGAGCAGCTGCTGTGTCCCAATTGACCGCAATGGGGTGGGATGCACAGAACACCTGTACAGGTAAACACTGGCATGTGGTAATGTATGCCCCTTGTGAATAAGACCTGCTACAGCCAGCTTTGTAAAGCAGTATTTAAAAGACAACCAATACCTTCAGGGAACTTTGCAGTCCCCACCTTTATCCCATGCAGAAATATGATCCTCTCACATCCTCTGCTTCTAGACCAGGGGTCTCCAAACTTTCTAAACAAAGGGTTTACTCCCCAGCTAAACTTTAGGGGG